AAAAAAAAAAAAAAAGAAGGACACAGGAAAATTTACAAAATATAAACATATGAACAGAATTAAGAACTGAACATTTTTACTCTTAATAGTTTAGAATTATCATTACCATTGCATATGTACATTATGCATTGTCAGATTAGAGAAATAACTTTCCAGTTTTAAAATTTTATATCATTATACGTTTTTTGTTTCTTATTTAGTTTTTGAAGACATTACACTCTGGGTTTTTTTGGTCAGCTGTTACAATCCAGGTGTCACGCTTCAAGTCTTTAGATAATATCATCTTATTGAAAATTTTGCAGAAGGATTTTCTTGTTTTCTCGGTGGCTCAGTTAAAATCAGTGAGTGGAAAATTTTCTCAGATTGGTTTTTGAAGATACCCAATAAATCCTGTATAACCTAACAGACAGCTGCCTTTTCTTTTCTTCTTTAGTAGTTTTTGAACATGAAGTGAGGGTCATATTGATTGGGAGATCGCTAAGAAGGCTAAGCCTCAGCAAGAGTCTTCCAAAAAATGGACTGTGCTAAAATTGCATGTAATACTCCAGCATTGGACACATTAAACTCAACTGGGTTCATAACACATTTTAAGAAGAGTTTTCTCTGTTGCTCATTTTACCATTCCTTGCTCCTTCAGGAAACAGACAAGGTTATGTAGGATGGTGATCATGACTGGAAAAGAATCAGATGACCCATGAAGCGCCAGACTGGAGAACAAAATGTGCCTCTAGGGTGGTTGGTGAAGCTGCCATTCACAAGAAAGTAAATAAACTCAGTATAGCTTGATAGTCTACTAAAAATGAACAGTATGCCCATTTTTAAGGAAATACTCTCAAGCTAAACATATTCTTTCTTACACGCTAACCTTCAATAATTTAGACCCTTCTAGTATCTGGGTTCTCTGGGAAGCAGATAGTATAGTTTAGATCCTTCTAGTATCTGGGTTCCCTGGGAAGGAGACACTAAAATGGGGTTAAGTGTGCAATAGGTTTATTAGAAAGCCAATGAAAGAAGAGAGGAAGCAGAATTGGACAAGGGGAGCTATCTTAGACTCTGATGCAGATGTGGCAAAGTCTCTGCCAGTCCAATGGGGACTGCTGGAGGAAAGGTTACTTTTTAGAGTTCTCTGCTGGATTTAAATAACTAGGGCTTTGTACTACTGCCTTGCTTAGTTATTTGCTGAGGGTCCTCCACTGAGAACATGCACCTGGCTTCTATCATCTAGCTTAAATCCCAGTGACTACAAGCCAACTGAGCTAGCATAACTTTGGCTTTAAAGTGGGAATGGATGCTGAAGTCAAAAGCTGGAGGCAGTCAAATAACTATATTCCTGAGAGGAAAAACAGCTGGACAGCGAGTCCTCTCT